CCCAGGACCAACTCTATACTCACGACCACTCCACCTGAGCACTCCCTATGCAAGAGCCTGCTCCCGGCTGGATGGATGGATGGATGGATGAATACGGCTGAGCCCTTTGGATCGGGCGGTAGCTTACGCCACCTAGCCATTTTGTTTTATCATTTAAGCTTAGAATATTTAAATGTGAAATCTATATTCACTCCGCAGTGCAAAGAAAGTGAGGCTATGAAACCCCCTTGCCATCAGTGATTAAGCAAATACCTAGTTTTCTCTCGATTTCTGCCACCATTCACTTAATCTTTGCTTGGTAATCTCTACAGTCTTGAAATCCACTCTCCCTTCGCTGTCTCTAAAACCCAATGACTTTATTAAATCTATGTTGTCTTCGATAGGCATAGGGTGAAGCCCTTTACAGTAGAGTATCAAGTGCTCAGCCGTCTCGTCCTCCTCTCCACAAGCAGTGCACACTGTATCAATTTCCTGGTACTTCACTCTGTATGTTCTGGTTCGCAGAACACCCGTTCTTGCCTCAAACAGCAATGAGCTTCCCCTAGAATTGTCATAAATGCTGAGGGCCGAGTTTTAGCGCCACCTAGCGAGAGGCGTTCTCACTAGGCGGCACAAAAACTCGGTCCTCCTACCATATGATCTCTTTCCTCCTACCTCGTCGGGTTCTTCTGTTATCCATGGGTGCGTGCCAGCTGATCGCGCTTTCTTATTTCAAGTGCGTTCATGATTTAAAATGTTTTTCTCTATGTCAAATACATTGAAGGAGTCGAATTCGTTAATTAGTTCCCTTTTCTTTAGTTTGCGCAGTCAACACCAGATAGTATTGGCTGCGACCGCTCGTCGCCAACTTCATAGAGGCCAAAATAACCTGGTGCAGCGAGAATAATACGAAAAAATATACAGAGTTGCAGGCTTTGCCACGAGGCGCCGCTGAAACTCGGCCCTCCGAAAGGTGCGTGCTGGAGTGTGTCCAGATGGAGTGGTCGTAAGTATAGAGTAGGTCGTGGACGGGCCCCTAGCCCACGTCAACATGGCGGACATGTTACGCGGCGCCAGCATCGCTCACAATGGCAGGCGCACAGGATCTTTCTTGCAAACGTGTATATCGAAACGTAAGTACGCACCCATTACGTCTGCGCATAAAATTAAAAATTAGACATTCAAAATTCAATGTTGTAAGATGTTCACTAATATGCTAAATCATGAAACTAAGCTAGGGCTAGTGCTACAACTACTGAGGAAAATGTAATAGGCGTTTGTTCCGTTTAAAGACTAGTGAAACACAGCCGTCACTAAGCGTAGGAAGTTTACTGTTTTTTGACCAAAAAGAGCAGATCAGGGGGGCATGTCCTCTCGCATATCATTTTTTGCTGTGGAACAAACGACTGTCCGGAGGCCGGAGACACACGCCACTGCTGACCAGGCCGATCACCGAGGGTACATAAATGTAAATCTCTGTGCTGTGGAGCATAAAGGGGCACTCAAGTGCTTTTTGGAGAAGCTTGTTTTTGGAAGCATATTGTTTGTTGGGCTTCAGTCAATAAAAATGACCAGTTCTAAATGGCAATGCGCCCTAGTAAACTCACAGCAATAGAAATACACAGGCACTATATCCTCTTGCGGTGTCCATCCCGTGTCTCCACCACCTCCATAGAATTGGACCAATAGAAATAGCGAACTGCGAAAAGATTGCTAAAGTTATTATTATTGCTCTTTTTAGGCACATGCACATTATATTTTGACAACAACGTCAAATCTTTGGCTGTAGGTGACGTAATACAGCTATTATTGTTTGAAAACGAGCGAACTACGTTTTCTCCTCGCCTCGTTACGCGGGAGTGATGTGCCCACGCGGCGACGCGGCTCCGTCGTGGAAAGCGCGTGGCTCGCAGCTTATCTCGCCGCGAGAACGAACGATAAGGAAGAGGATCTTCTTCCCGAGGCTCCCACTTTCCGTTCTCAAAGCAAGGTTCACCGAATCGATCGACATCCACGTGTTGAAACGTTTATTCGTCTTCGCTTCCGTGTGATGCCGAACGTTTGTGTGGTAAAGTTGTGCCCGAATCGAAAGGTAAAAAATATTCGAAAAGGTCTCCGGTTTTTCGCTCTGCCGGAGAAGGATCCACGAAGGCACGAATGGTTACGTGTCGCCGGGCGAGATGACGATACCGAGGACTTGAACCGGACTCCCCGTTTCTGTGCCGAGCATTTCGAGACGTCTGCATTTTCCAGCGGTGACTGCAAACGCCTTCGATGCACAGCTCTGCCGACTCTTCTGCTTCCCGTCGCCGGCAGGACCGAGGAGCCCCCGAAAAAGCGCCAGAGAGTCCTGGTGAGTGTCTTTTCAAGGATTCATGAGCCTTGCATTGTGCAGCAGTCCGCGTGGCATATACCGGAAGTTTCCGATGAAAGATATAATCGCATCTTTCGACCTGGGTAAGTAAACTATGCATCCCGTAAAGCTGGACCTCCATGAGAATGTGACGCTAGCGGTTAGGACAGAACGCGAAAGGTTGCAAACACGACGTTACCCGAATCAGAAAATAATTCGAAATAAAGTTCTTTATGGGCCGATGTTAACCCTAAGTGTAACGTCTTCAAAACAATAGATGCCATTTCGCGCGCCTGTAGAAGAAAGAAGACGATCTTGTATTTCTTGCAGACAAGTGTCCCTTATTGATATAAATCCCACAAGCGTCCATTATGTCATATATTCTTTTGAAGATATTACGCTTAGGTGGATGTCGGCTCACAAAGAAATTTTTGTTTCCAAATTGTCTTCTGATTCAGGTAACGTAGGTTTCTCAATCTTTCGCACTCTATTCTAATCGCCAGCGCCGCATCAGGGAGTTCGAGCTTTCTGCGGTGCGTAGTTTATTTAACCAAACCACCCCCCCCCCAACCCCAACCCCCCCTCCCCCCCCCCCCCCCCCCAAAGAAAAAAAAAAAAGAAAAAAACGTTATTTTTTTTTGGGGGGGGGGGGGGGGGGGGGGCGTAGGGAAGTTTTTTTTCTGTGCGTTCGGAAGTGAGGATGTTGGGAAGACGAGAAAACCGTGCTTTTCGGCTCACGTAAATTAACTACGGATCGTAAATAGCTGAATACCGCTGAGAATGTGACGCTGTACTCCGTTTCACCTTATGTTGTACCGTAGCAAAGGCTAGAAGCGCGAGCTCACAGGGTTGGCAGCTGCCCTTAGTGCACGAGAGCTTGTGCCACCGAGATGTTCCCTAGAGCAAGGAGCTCGTGCTTCTAGCCTTTCCTGCGGTACAACACAAGGTGAAACAGAGTATAGTGGTGGTCACAGAATTCTAAAGTTTGCGAACATACTGCTATCTGGATGAAAAAAAAATTAAAATACTGAATTTATCTACGAGCTGCTGTCCACCAAAGCCTAATTATTTCACGATTCTTCTGCTGCCCTTTTTATTATAAAAGTTCCTATCCTTTATCACAGTCTTGGGTTATTTTCTACATGGTCAACATCCAACAGCTCGCCTGCACACTCACTGTAATTTCGGGAGTAGTGAACCCGTTTGATTCAAGCAACATAAGGTCCTGCTATGCATAGTTTATGTATGCAGACCGAAATGGACGGTTCTCTGCTTTCACTAACAACCGTCGCATCAATTTCAAACATGTGATCAACCTTTTTTTTAATTTTTTTTTTATTTTTTCTTGTCACGCTTCTTGCTTGAGCTTTATAACTTCGAACACACTTTATTGTCTCATGAGCTTGAAATTTGCATGCGCAGCCAAAGAACGGTGGAACTAGCGAATGTGAAAACCGGTCATCTAAATGAGATGCCCTGTGCCTGCCGTGCGGGTTTTCATGAAGGACTCATGCAGCCAGCTACCAAGTTCAAGTTGTGCACTTGACAAAATTACGACTATGAATGGGCACTTGTGTGGAAGCATAATATGTTCAAGAAGTTCTCAAGATAGTGAGTTCAGAACCGATTTTGTTAGTTAGAGATGCTTCAAGGGCCCGTAAAAATAGGCAGGCACAATTTGTTTTTATTTATCAAAATTGCGTTCTTACCCCAGTTATCGACTGGATTTTTTCTTATGTGTTTAAACAGTGTCTTCGTACCCTGCCTTGTGTAATACCCGGAAACGAATCCTCAAGGTAACTAAATGAAAAAGAATCTGCAAGGATGATGGTGTGTATATGTAACATGTCAGGCACACCATAGTTAGTTATACCAGGGGACACGTCCCTCTTTTGTAAAGGTGAAGGTTTGCTTTCTGCGTGCAAAGCCTCCCCTGAAGACCTTATGTTGCAGCAGAGTTCGGACACATTTGTGTCCGAACTCGGACACAAATGCAAGCATAGTGTCCGAGTTCGGTGCCCCATACTCGTAACTACATGCGCTGCACATGAAAGCGGGTTTTGCAGGCTTGCAATTGCAAGTGCTTACTTGAACCAAAAGAGATGGCGGCGGCCAGATGCCCTGCTTGCAATACTGTATCGGAGGTTGCCACAAGATATTCAGTTACTGTAAAATACCAAACATCTGCCCATTCTACAACAGGCACTCTTCCCTCATTTTTGCAACATCTGGAAAGTACAGAAATGACATATGCTTAGATATTCTGGACCTAATAAGTGCCCATTTCCAAGTTTTACGTGATTATCTCCAAATTTTGAGTGGGCACTTGCTCGGAATTTTACCTAATCAAGTAACGACTTGAATTACACATATACAAAGCAGATATAAATGCAGGGAAATTTCTATTCAGTGTCAGTTTTTGTTGCATTCAGAATAGTCTAAGCAGTGTAAACAATGCACGAGTTATAAAATTGCTGGAATGCATAGTGCCTTCGATGCTTGCTGTGCTCGTAGCACTGTTAGAAACTATCGATAGCCCAAATTGCATCTTTCAAGCATTGTGAAAAACATTGGGGTATAAACGTGCTATTTGCAGGCCCAAGTCTCAGCAGCTGGACTGTCCGCATCTTGCGAGACAGGAAGGATCTTGCGGGACTGCACTGCCGAAATGAACATCACCGGAAGGGTGGCAGCTTCCCTGGTCATGGAGGAACCGCTGCAGTTGAACCCTTTCGACGCTGCCTCCCCGTCCTGCAGCATTGAGGTGCCACACGACTGTGTGTCTCCTGCTCACAGCAGCGTGGCAGAGTCTGATGCAACATACTCTCCATCCCGCTCTGCCGAAGGTTTCGAGAGGTAAGCTATGCGTATGTATGCCGAGAATTTGTGAAAAACGCTTTACATAATTTCATTCCAGTGGCGGACAAACTGCGTCAAGTCCACCAGCACCAGGAAAAGAACGCCAGTTCCTGGTCTTTGAGAGCTGCCTGCGAGAACTCTTCAGGACATGCCAGGAGTGCTCAAGACCCTGCCAAAATGACATCACAAGCCAGGGTATGCTCATCACAGTGGTCAGCATCTGCCCTCTCGAGCACGTGCGGAAGTGGAGCAGCCAACCCATCATCAATGGAAGAGGCGCAGGAAACATTCTGTTGACAAGGCACCTGCTCTTCTCTGGAGCCCAGGTGACGAACACTCTTCGGATGCTCCGCCACATGAACGCCGAGATGATGAGCGATCAGATGTACAACACCTATCAGAACGCCCTCCTGTTCCCTGCAGTGGACAAGGTGAGGAACATTCTGAAGGAACTACAATATAGTATTTTTATACTCCCAAATCAAGCCCATTACCAGGTGTAGCATCCTTCCTGTGAAACATTCAACACACATTCTCTACATTTTCAGTGCTGACAAGTGGGCAGAGGCTTGTGCTTATACATCGCCGCATGATAGATCCAGGAAGCATATGCTTGTGTCGTCTGCTTGCTGCACCAATAAGGAAATGCCGCCACAAGCACCACTGTCAGGGAACTTGGTTGACGGCTTTTGCACTAAATGTAAAGAATGTGTTTCTTACTTTTCACAGGAAGAGAGCTATGTCTTGAAATTTCTATAGGTAAAATTCGCCACTAAAAACGGCTTTGGTAGTAATTCGAGCTCATTACGTGAAGAAACAAATTTTTCAAGCTGATTTCTGAGCGAGCCTCTGGATTCATAATTCTATATAAGGTGTTTGTTTCTAGATGCACCAAATTATAAAAAAGAGAACTAGCATTCTTTTTACCCTGGGGCTAGGGTGGGGGCCATGGACGCCACCATAAATGAAGTGAAATGGGTCAGTAAGTTACTTGACTAAAACACTCAAACAAACTTTTATTTTTTATATTTATGGGTTCTGGGGGCGACAAAAGTCCTTGCACACACTTCAAACCGAAACTAAGAGGGCAAATATCTCCTGTGTAGCCTGCAGTGCGGATGTGTGAGTCTGCCATGGCAACCATGTTCACTTCCAGGGCCGGTTAGGGGGAGAAAAATTGGTCTTAAAAGGGCGGGAGGAATCACGTTTTTGTCTTTTTAGACTTAGGCTAGGTGGCGCAAGCTACCGCCCGTTACAAAGGGAATAGCCATTAACATCCATCCATCCATCCATCCGGTAGGGGGTGGAGAGATTGTTATCATGGGCACTCTTTGCCCGCTTAGTTTTGAAGTACTGCATAAGGACGACTTTTGTTTTACCATAACAACCACTACAAATTTGTAGTGAAAATGTATGTCACGGGTGTACTCTGATGTAGAGCATCAATTCTCCAAATACATTATGCCCTCAAAAATAAAACCTAAATAAGTTAATTAGAATGTTTCTTTATTAGCTGACTAACTAACCCATTTCAAGTCTTGTTGTGGTGCCCATGGTCCCCAAATGTAGCCCCAGGGTTAAAAAAACCCTAACAATTTTTTGTGGTGCAGCGAAAAAAAAATTTGTCTGTCACATACTATGGGCAAGTGAACTAATTAATTTTATTTTTCCCTATGCATACTCGGAAATAATAAATTATGTCAGCGCATTTTTACAATTTCTAATGCAACATTAATTTCTATGAATAGATATGGCTACAAGAACAAGAAGAGCTGATCAGTCAGCTGGACAGTCAAGAAGTTGACATTACTGCCGATGGACGGTTCGATTCTCCTGGGTTTTCTGCAAAGTACCTCACATACTCGGCTCACGTCCAACAGATCAACAAGATTCTCCACTCTGTGCAGGTCCAGCTAGGAGAGGTGAGTGGTTTATGTAGTAAAACAATCACAACGGTTTTATGATTCTTTATGTACACTTTTATAATTTAGTATACTTTGGTGACTTCACTGTCATGCGCAATTCAAATGATTTGTGTCTCACTTCTGTTCTTAGTTAGAGCGAGCAATGGCCAGTGTCAACATGGAAAAGGAAGGCCTCATCAAGCAGCTAAAATTTTTGAGGGAGAAATGTATGTTCATATTTTCTTCGACATTCATAGTGATTCCATACTGTTCAACATTGTATACTCAATAATTATTTTGTACTACGAAATTCAATGGCACAGGTATCCACATCCGGTCCTTGGGGACTGATCGCCACCCTGCCATACGGAAGCACATGGAGACCCAGGACCCCGGAATCGCCCACTACTTCAACGTTTGGCACATCTCCAAAAGTAAGCAATTGTCAAAGCCTATTTATGTAGGTGACATTTTCTAGTGAAGCTGCTGCAGGATTTCACTAAATTGCTTTTTAATTTTTAGGTGTGAAGAAAAAGATGGCGGCAGCAAGCAAACGAGCCGGCTGCCAAGAACTTCAAATGTGGGTGCAGGCGACCACCAACCACCTCTACTATTCGGCCAAGGCTGGGGCGGGTGACAGGAAACTGACCGTCGATGTGTGGCTCAGTCTCCAGAACCATGCCATCAGCGAACACACGGGCCATGGCGGGAGCTATCCCAGGTGTCTGCACAACGAGATACAAGACAGCACAAGAAAGTGGATGGATCCTAGTAGGTTTTTGTTCTCCCAACTGAGGGTGCTCATTCTAAACCATGTCTTATCTGCAGACTCCCAGGCCTATGGCCACCTAAAAAAAAAGCAAAAACAAGCGGCTCCTGAAGGACGTCGGCCAGATGTCTCCCCATGGCCAGACGTACGCCCTTGAGGCGTTCCACAGCGTCCTCATAAATTTTGCCCCAAAGTCCCAGGCATTTTCTCCGGCCGGCATGCTTGCAAGGTAATTACAGAAATACATTTTGTCTGGAAGTCAGGTGCAGTGATGTCTCGTTGATATTCGCATGCCCATACCCCCCAAAAATCATTCATGGTGAGAGTTTTCCATAATAATGACAAATGCAAGTAATTGCCCAATTCATACCAGAAAATGCTGTCTATATAGTAGGGTATCCAATCAGGGTTCTCCTTACAGTGGGTAGCAGTGGTTACGCTGCCCGCCCGTCGAGCAGACCGCCCTTCTCCATGATGTATCATCCACCTCAATATTTTACCAACGCTGGACGAGATGTCACCGATTTATCAAATACACAATGCCCCCCATCGTCATATTTGTGAGGTGGCCATTGCACAAGGCATAAATACAAATCTCAGCAAGAAACAAAAAAATCAACAAAAAACATTGCTGCATTGGTGAAAAAGGACCAAAGGTTATTACACAAATCAAACATGCCCCCCCCCCCCCCTCCCAGAAAAATTGTCAGATGACCACATCTCAAATATTTCTCGGAAAACTCTGGTACCCATATTAACGGGGTCGAAATTTACAAAACATTACAGCATCTGAATTACCAAGAAGTTGATAAGGTCCAAATTTACAAAACATAACAGCATCCGAATTACCAAGGAGTTGGTTTGCCATTGTTTTGCACAATGGCAAAACTTTTCGAGATTGGTCCTTTTCAAAATCCTTTGGTTTTACAACATTGCGGCCTATATGCATGTTTCTTTTTCAAAAAAAAAATATTCAGCACAGGGGTTATGTGTCCTTTTCAATTTGTTATAAGGATCGAGTACTGCAACTGACTGCCGCTTGCACATATATCTCTATCATAATGCGTATGTTCAGGCTTATCAATGCAGTTTTGGCGCAAGTACATATATCTAAGGAGGGCTTCTACCAGGCTGCGATTTATATACAAACATTTTTGTAAAACCATTAAATGATGCGGGGTGGGCTGCTTATAGGCCAAAATGTACAGTGCTTCTTGGTGGCACATTTCATCTTCACTGAAATATCACCATCCTGCAGGACAGGACTTGCAATCTTGCATTACAACGAAAACTCAGACCGCTGCCAAGCTGTGACGCAACAGGGCGATCCATGTTTCACGGTGACCACATCAAAGGCACGGAAGGGACACGCCACAGCACGTGAAAAGAAAATGGATCCAACTTATGGTAAGTGTGGCTCCTAATCCAGGCAGAAGCTTTGCTCAGTGCATATTGGAATGTTATCATGCATATACTTCAATTTCAGAGTACATTGGAAAGCTAGTCCGGGAGGCGATGGCCAGCAACGAGCAGCGCACGTCCCTTGATGAGGCAGCAATAGCCAAGAAACGCATCTTTCCGGCACCCATGAATGCCGCCTTCACGAGGCCTTCCAAAAGGGAACTCGTGGAGGCAAGGAGGTCCCGGTTCGGCCAACTTACCCCGTGAGGGACCTCCTCAAATCCCTCCTGTCACCCGTGCACTCAGTGGTAAGTTTCCAAGGCCCCTTCACCTGCCAGGTGAAGCCAAGTTCCAGGCTGAGACAACACGTTTCCCCTTGCAGGACACCTGCCTCGGCCAAGCGGGCGTTAGGGGGCATGGTTAACACATCGAAGGCACGGAAGGGACATGCCACAGCACGAGAAAAGAAAACGGATCCAACGTATGGTAAGTCTGGCTCCAAACCCAGGCTGAAGCTTTGCTCCGTGCGTATTGGAATGTTATCATGCATATGCTTCAATTTCAGAGTACGTTGGAAAGCTAGTCCGGGAGGCAATGGCCAGCAACGAGCAGTGCACGTCCCTTGATGAGGCAGCAATAGCCAAGAAACGCATCTTTCCGGCACCCATGAATGCCGCCTTCACGAGGCCTTCCAAAAGGGAACTCGTGGAGGCAAGGAGGTCCCGGTTCGGCCAACTTACCCCGTGAGGGACCTCCTCAAATCCCTCCTGTCACCCGTGCACTCAGTGGTAAGTTTCCAAGGCCCCTTCACCTGCCAGGTGAAGCCAAGTTCCAGGCTGAGACAACACGTTTCCCCTTGCAGGACACCTGCCTCGACCAAGCGGGCGTTAGGAGGCATGGTTAACACATCGAAGGCACGGAAGGGACATGCCACAGCACGAGAAAAGAGAACGGATCCAACGTATGGTAAGTGTGGTTCCAAATCCAGGCTGAAGCCTTGCTCCGTGCGTATTGGAATGTTATCATGCATATGATTCAATTTCAGAGTACGTTGGAAAGCTAGTCCAGGAGGCGATGGCCAGCAACGAGCAGTGCACGTCCCTCGATGAGGCAGCAATAGCCAAGAAGCGCATCTTTCCGGCACCCATGAATGCCGCCTTTACAAGGCCTTCCAAAAGGGAACTCGTGGAGGCAAAGAGGTCCCGGTTCGGCCAGGTTACCCCGTGAGGGACCTCCTCAAATCCCTTCTGTCACCCGTGCACTCGATGGTAAGTTTCCAAGGCCCCTTCACCTGCCAGGTGGAGCCAAGTTCCAGGCTGAGATAACACGTTTCGTTTCGCAGGACACCTGCCTCGGCCAAGCGAACACGCACGGAAGGGGGGATCTTGCAGACCCGCTCCTTATCCTGTTACGAGAGCCCGACCTGCAGTAATGAGAACGTCAGTTGTAACTGCAGTAATTTGTCAAAGATGATGAGATCCATTGTGATAATGAAGTTTCGATTCCAGGATCATCGACCAGCCGATAAAGCAACACGAAGGCTCAAGTTCTGGGAGCTGCCATGTAGTCAGATGTGCCAAACCTGCCAGGGGAACTTTGATACCGTGAACCATAACAGAAAAAGCCAGTGCTGCAGCTTTTTCGTTATTATGTACTATTTGCAAATAGGTTAAAACAGTGCAGATCATCGGGACCCTGATAATTTTGCCCTACATGGCACTAATTACTGCATTGTTTCATCAATAACACAAAGGAAGTAGTGACCAGTAAACTCTTGCAATTTTATGCTGCTCTTTACAAGGGATCCTAGTCTAAATTCACAAGCTTAGTATGCTGTCAATGTTTTCCTAATTGCGGTACTGAAACCCCAAGCACAATAAGCAATATGGCTCACAAATTCGTCTGCTCTTTGATACGTTTGATCACTTCCTGCATGCGACCATAGGCTTTTGTACTCTCCCAATGGCAGCATGGGCTTGGCTGCTTCATTGTTGCGCGTTCTTTGTGCTATCTTTTTGTCGCCGTTAATTGGTCTGACCCTTGTATTCTAATGCACCAAAACAAGTTTAGAAACACTCACTGTCATCACATTTTTCCATGTCCCCCAACCGTAATACAGTATTGACTTTTCTTTTCATGTGCTCCCACGCTGACATCCTGAAGAGGCTGCGCCTTGGCAAAGCAGCTGTCCCGTTAGTTTCTAATAAATGGGGTTTTCATCCAGGAGGTAGACTGGAACTGTAAAAATTAAATTTGGGCAACTGTGCATGACAGCACAAGGACACCTAACCTTAACACCATTCATACTTGGAAAGGGAAAAACAGTTTCCACTCTACACCACGGTTCCCCCCCCCCCCCCCCCCCCCCCAATCTGCAACACTGTCTCCTTTCAATCATTGACTTGTTCACAAAGCAACCTATTATATTGACACACCTTGCTAATTGATGCTCTGGCTTGTTTTATCACGACCTTTTGCATGATTATCCAAGCTCCAAGGAGCATGCTGAAAGTGCAGTTACACACAGTGGCATCTGCAACAGTTGCAAACGCCAACACATGCACACTCAACACTTGGCTACATCAAACCTCTCCCCTTTGTGTGTTAGCAAAAGATCCAATTTTAGCTGAAAAGAATGTCAAGTAAAGATGCCTTTTTACTGGGTAACTTGTATGTGCATTGCAGGAATAAGAGCAAGAATTCCCAATTAGTGTTCGAGTCTTCCTAGCCAATTTGGCTCCGACAACACAGCACTTGGCTAGGCTTTACATGAAAACAATCTGTCCATGCTCGTGTTCTCCAGTCTTTCCCTTCGTCTGTATCTAGTGGCGTTGTTCCAAAAATAATGTGTTATTCACAAAATCCGTCAAGTCGGTAAAAAAAAATATCTTGAAAAAGCGTGCTTTTTCTCAGAGGTTATGGGAAACTCTCAAAGTGCCTTGGATTCGCCTCAATGGCTCGTAGCATCCACAGCAGTCGGTTGTTAGGTGACACGGAGTATAGCAGTAAGTGCTCAAAGGCGCCAAGAAGATGGCAGCCAATGAAAACTCCCAATGTTCTCGCTGAAACATGAAAATCGATAATGACATTGAACTGGACAAAAATAAGTTGTCATCTGGTTCTAACGCCTAACATTACATTCGGGAACGTAGAAAAATGTTTGAACAGCAGGAGAGGCTTTAATACACGACGTTTTGGGAAGAGACTTCCCTTCTTCAAGTGTGCAGAAAATACAGTTGCAAAGCGCTTTTAGAGAGACCAAAGGAAAGGAGGAGCATTGGAAAAAGCGAAAGAAAAAAGTCATGTATAATAGTACAAGTAAAAACACTTGAGCATGAAAAAACTACATTCCAACAAAACACATATAAAAAAGAAAAAAGAGAGAAGTAGTAGTTTTAAGGGTAACATGGTCGCGGCACTCGTTAGCGAAACCAAGAAAATACATCACAGGCAATGGCCTCCGTCACGTTAGAGTTAGAGCTCCAGATCCAGAAAAATAACAACATACAGGGGTCAAGTCGAGTGAGCCCAAGCCAGTATAACGCCGAAGCAAACGAAAGTCATAAATAAGTCCGAAGTGTGTGTAAACGAACACCAGAAATGTCACACGCGGGTGGCACCGCTCAACAGAATACCGAGAAATACTCCTTAACACGCCTCCAAACTCGACCTCCCACCTCCCCGAAAAAAAAAAAAAAAAAAAAAACGGAAAGAGGAAGGAAGTTAGCGGGCGACGTCCCCACATCCCAATGTTTCTAGCTCTCCCCTCAAAGAGCTTTAGCTCTCCCCCGCTCTCCTCCGCGATGGGGGAGGTGGTTAGCCTGTAGTATACTAAAAACTAAAAACCTACAACAGCCTATATAAGTTTCCTTTTGAAATGTTCATACCAAGCGGGGTTAGTGTTTTAAATTTAGATATATAAAAGGACTCTTTATTTTTGCGCGTAATATCATTTTTGAAACTGCTTTCCACGATGATAATTTTTAGGTGCGTATGAATGTCGTGGTCGTCGGAGTTAAGGCGCGTTCACACTCTTGCAACCGAGTACGACCGAGAAAGACTTCTTGGGACCGGATGCACTGAGCGGAGCTGGTCCTAAGAGATCGCAAGAGGCTTAAAAACCGGTATGGTCTCTCTCGGTCGCACTCGGTTGCAAGAGTGTGAACGGGCCTTTAAAGTGTTTAGCTACTGGTGTTTGTCCTTTATTTACAATATCAGACTTATGGGAGGCACAGGAGGCCGGTCAGTGGATCCAGGACGAGTCAGCCCCAGCCGCGCCCGATCGCGTACCGGAGACACTACTTCAATCCAGACATGTACAAATTACTCAAAAAAGGTAGTTAAGTTAAGTTACTGAGTATCGACGCCAAAAGTAGTTGGAGTAGAGTAGAAATTACGCGTTTGTGATAGTAATTGAGTAAACTACAAACTACTGTAAAAAAGTAGCGAATTACTTTGAAGTTACTTTCGAAGTTACTTTTTATGTTTTTGTGGCAGCAAAATGAACAAAAGTTTTGATCTGTTAAAAACCCTGCGAGCTGGAAATAAACACAGTAATTTTATGGCTGCCAAAATAGTTTATTCGCTCGCCGAAGCAATTGTCTTTCAAAGTTGTTATCGGAGAGTTTTCCTCTTTTCCTTCTAATGACGTCCTCGGTGAGGCTAAAAAGACGTTCCACCGTGGCGCTGGATGCAAAGACAGCGTTCAATTTCAGAAACAGGCTGTGCAGGGTCGGGTAAGCGAGTGTCGGCATCTTTGGTGTCCGTGACGAAACATGTGAAGCTTGCCTCGGCCCTAGAGGGTCTTTTATAACAAACTGTCCTTTTTTCTTCTTTTTTCTTCGGCAAGTTGAGATTGTTATGACTTGCCCCTCTTTATTCTCACGACGTTCGGAGATTTCGCCAAGCGAGTGCACCTGACCGTCAAAGGTTGAAGTCTCGCGCCACGACGATGAGATCATCCGGACGACTGCGCGTCTCGTTGCAATGTTATAGACCTTTTCTGCAAGGGCGCCGCCATCTTGAATTGACGTCACTTCCAGTATGGGCGAAAACATTGTTTTGCCTTTGCCACGCCAATAGAAGGTATTTAGGATATAAGCGTCACCGTCACACTGTCTCGTTTTGCCTCCCCTTTATTTTTTTACTATTTGCAGGTTGAAACGTTGGAATATTTTTTCGTTGCCCATACCGGATACGCCTATTAGGTGGCTGGGGACGAGAGTACACAGAAAAGGTCTATAGATCTTTTCCGCAAGGGCGCCGCCATCTTGAATTGTCGTCACTTCCAGTATGGGCGAAAACATTGTTCTGCCGTCGCCACGCCAATAGAAGACATTTAGCAGAAAAGCATAACCGTCACACATTCTCATTTTGCCTCCCCTCTATTTTTTTTTCTATTTACAGGTTGAAATGTTTTAATAATTTTTCGTCGCCCATACCGGATACGCCTATTAGGTGGCTGGGGACGAGAGTACACGGAAAAGGTCTATACACCAACTCAACTCTCCTACGTCACGCCGCGGTGGTGGCGCGCCGGACGCACTTCCGGTCTCGGGCGGTGGGCAGAAGTCACCGTGCCAGACATGCATTCCTGTGTTCCTTTGGAAGAAACGAGACAAAAAAACCTGCCTTCTCGTCAAAATGCTGCGATGGGGGCTTTACCAAGAGAGTCTGGGAAGGTTTGAAGACCAGCTTTCATGTGTTTTTGCACCCTCCGTTCGTCCGAGAACGTGGATAGCAGCCGTGAAAAGGGCAAACCTGACGCTGCCGAACTACGATTGCGTGTGCGGCCCACAATTTGTAGTCGCCAGATGTATTTGCTTTGTTCCAACAGGAACGAGAGAAAACCCCCAAGTTGTCCGGACCACCCACGGATTCAGTGCGTCTTCAAATTCACACGGCCGCCTGATCGTTGGAACTTTCGTCTACTCTTTCAAAGTTGTCTGCTTTTTGTCGTCTGCTCGTTCAAACAAAAGCGGCCCGTAGACCAAACTTTGACCCGGTGATTGCAAATAAGAAGTAATTTCAGGCCTCAAAAGACTTAAGTAGGCTCGGTGTAAACAGTAGATACAAGATGTTAATTATTGGTACCGGTGGCCATCACCTACTTGTTACGCTTTGTCTGTTCCCGCTTCCGACTTTCAGTATCGACGTCGATCATCGCCGCTACCTTTTACACTTTTGCAACACGAGCGATGTCGCTACCGAAAATACCTAGAAGAATCTCATCATGGTTTTGACGTTCATTCTGCGGCGTTCATGCGAATGAATCGCCGCACGTCAAATTATTTACGGAAAGTTTAGCGGCGTAACGAGCCTTGATAATTTCGCTCAGGCGATTGAAGTGGTAAGACATTGCGATGAGGACGTAGTATCGACAACTCCAACGCGAAAAAGAGTATGCAGACTCACACAGACGCCGAAAACGTGACATTCGAATGGTTTGTTGACGCGGGACGCGGTGCTTCTTGCACGCGTACTCCATTGCGCGTGCGTTCGAACTGTCGTCTGCTCTTTCAAACTTGGCTGCTTTTTGTCGTTAGTTCGTTCAAACGACAGCGGCTCGTAAACCAAACGTTGACCCGGTAATTGCGATAAGAACTAAG